TGTGTAAATGCTTAGCATCAAATATGCCATCTGGTGACACCAGCGAGTGCTTGCTACCCAGTGGACACCCTTCTCTGGCTTCACCTTCCCAGTCCCCTTTGTGGGCTCCTCTTCCTCCTCCTGCTCCATAAACATGGAGATTCCAGACACGGCCCAGTTGTCCTTTCATCTCCTCCAGGAGATCTCACCTTCTCAGTGCTTGTTGGGGGCGAGGCATAGTGGTCAGTGCTTTCAAGCTGAAATCATTTCTTAGGGCTGTAGTAACAAATAATCAGAAACTGGGTGACTTACAATAACAGAATTTTAATCTGTCCTCACTCTAGAGGCCAGGAAGTTCAAAACCCAAGTGTGCACAAGGTTGGTCCCTTCTAGAGGCTGAGGGGGGAGCCCAGCATATCCCGGGCAGCTGCAGAGCCTGGCTCTGCCTCCATCATCACCTGAGCTTCTCTCCATGTGCTTGTGTCTAATTTCCTTCTTATAAGACCACCAGGCACTGGATTAGGGCCTGCCCTGACCCAGTGTGTTCTCATTTTTAGCTTGATTATATCTGCAAAGCCCCTGTGTCCAAGGCAGGTCACATCCACAGGTTCTGGGTGGACAGGAATGTTTGCAGGACACTTGTCAACCTAGTATATGTGTGTAAAGTGTCAGGAACAGACACAGTGCAGGCTTTCTGATCCCATGCAGACCGGGTAAAGGAGGAGTCAGAGTCCTCAGTGGCTTTAGCAGGTCTTTTATTGGGATTCACCAGGCATATGGCAGGCAGGGGTGCTGGGGGGCCGGGAGGCTGGCAGGCCTCCCAGCCCCCAGCAAGTCTTCACTCTATCTGGGCTGTCCGGCCTTCTCTGCTTCTCTCTCGGCTTCTGCTACTTCTTTTCTCGGCTTCTCTTTTGGGTTCTATTAGCGTCCCTATGACGCCGCCCTTAAAAAGCAGTCTTAGTGCAGGTGTACCCACTTCAGGTGCCTGCCATCAGGCATGCATTCAGGATCACAGGTTCCTTCATCTATCCTGATGGCAGGAGGGCAGAAAAGCCTGATATTTTTCCTTACCCTACAACGTGCATTATCTCATTTAATCTGCACAACCTTAGCCCTGTTGTATGGATGGAGAAACAGACTTCTTTCAGATCTTCACCTCTGCTGTGTCCAACTGTTTATGGATATTTCCACTAAGATGTTACGCTGGTGCCTCACAATTCCAAAAGCAAACTCATCATTGCTCCCTTTCCCCTCCCCACCCGCAATATGTGGAAGCCCTAAACCATAGCAGCTCCAGAATGTCTATTTTGAAGAGACAATGGATTCTTTGGAAGAGGTTATTTAAAGTGGCCTCTACATAGCACCATTACTAAAAAAATGTATTAACTGCCCTTATCTGAAAATGACAGGTACCACTGTGGAGTTGCAATGAGGTGGTAGCAAGGGGAATGGGCAGGAATGAAAGATTTAGGAAAATATTAAGGAGACAGATTTAACAGGTGACTGCCTGCCTAAGGTGGGTGGAGAGGTGCCGAAGTGTCTTTGATCGGATTATAGGATGAAAAATAGGGCTACTTATGGTCTGTTTTTTAAAAAAAGATAGGGGGGGAGGGGCGGGGAAGCCATGATAAATTTCTTTCATTCAAATAAAATCTTACATAAAGCCTAATAAAAGAACAGGGCTGCTTTAGCTGAACAAGGGTTTGTGCCCTTACTCCCAGCTCAACCTCCCCCTCTGTGAAAGGGCCTAGGGCACTTGAGCAGAACATTACAAAAGTCACTGATTTAATGGATTCGTCTAGCTGTAAACCAGAAGGTACTTAATGCCGTTGCAGACACGTCAATATTGATCCTATTTTAAAAGTGTTTCCAAGAAAGGTTCTCATGGTCTCTGTCCACCCTTCTTTCCCGGCATGGAATACCCTCCAAAGCAGCGTGCTGTTCACAACACTTCTGATTAACTTCTTTTGCCCTTTAGTTGGTCGTTATGAGGCCCTGCGTCTCCTGTTCGAAGACCCTGTGTCTTCTGATAAAAGAGTCAGCCTGTTTCTTTCAGGAAGAAGAGTGAGATTTAACTCTAGGAATTAAGCCCACCCTCAGTTCAGCCCACATTCTTTATTGGTTCAGATTTGAGTCCTTCATTTTCAACATTGTGAGAGGTGGTTCATTCCAAGGGAAGAGGAAAGATACAGGCCATGTGGAAGCTGGTCAGACTCCGGGCCCCAGATCGGGCCCTGTAAGGCCAGAGGCAGAGCGGGCTCCTGGGTGTCCCATAGCTCTGCATTCACCCAGAGACAAGAGTAGGACTCTTGCAGTTTAATTAAAAACAGGATGTTCCTGCTGGGCCTCTCATTGACATGGCTAAAAATAAAGTAGCCCAGCCTCTTCATGGTTTAATCCCATTAAATTTGGGGGGGAAAGCTGGAGCTAATATAAGGCATGATTTGTTTCAGATTGCTGTCTGGGGTTACGTCTTTTCTCTCTCTGAGCTGTGGAATCCTAGATATTGAAGTTCTATTACCATCAGCGATGGTAGTCACTGCCGTGGGAAGGGAGCAAAGAGACACAATTCCCCAAATGTGGTTTTGCATACACTTATTCACTGTCAGAACCTCTGGGACTCGTCACCCCAGCTCTGTCCTCACTAGTTTAGTACCACCCACGTCAGAGACTTGGCTTTGTGACTAATTCACTGAGCTCTTATCTCTGAGTTGATGCACATTTAAAAAAAATTCTTCTCTGAGTGCTATGAAAGTGCCATCTGGAAAGGAGCACCTCTTAGGTGAGCCCTCAGGCCTACCAGCCCCACAACATCCCCGGACATTATATCTGTCGCCAGTGGCACACACAAGGTGGGTGGCACCTGGAATTGTCAAGTGCAAGGGTTTTACAGAGAGCAGACTAGACTCAGGGATGGTGTATAATTACTTACCCAGCATCCTTTAGATTTCCAGCAAAGGGTAAACTTTCCATTGCCCATAAATGCCCCTCCATGCTACCTCTGCTACACCAAAAACATGGCATCTCTTGCTTCTTCGTAGAGGTTGTATGGATGAGTCTAGTGGGTGCTGAATTCCACATTCTCTGTCACTGTTTTTGTTTGAAGATCGCTTGACTTATGAATTCAAAAAATATTTAGATTGTGTAAGTTTCAAATCTGTGTGCAGGGTGTATATGTGTTCATTGGTTGGTGCCACTGATTCCCCTTTGACTGGGTCCAGAGCTACAGAAAAGCGTCCATGTAGGAGTAAGAAACGCCCAGGAGAGGGCGCTAGTCCCAGGACATCACTAGTGTGGAAAGCCTCCAACTGTTAACCATTCACCTGGCCCTGGGAAGTCTCAGGGATTCTGTGTCTCCATCTGCATCAAGGACTCTATCTCCATGGTCTCTTCTCACTCCCCTGAGGAGTCAGGTTTCTCCTACAGCTTGATTCATTGGCATTACAACTCCAGCACAGGAGGAGGTGTAGACTTGCAGGTGTAGACCTTGCTGACTATAGAGGGGACAGAAGTAGGTGTTCAGGGAGAAGTCAGAGTGTGACTGGCCTCCCGCCTCAGAGCATGTTTCAGTGAGCATTTCTTGGGGAAGCTGACTGTGACCGAGCTTACCCTCCTGACAGCCGCAGTCCCAAACAGGGCCATGCTCTGAGCTTGACCTTCTTCCCAGAGGGAGTTGGCGTAGAAGCAGGGCTGTGGGTGGGTTCCAGATGGACTCAGAGAGCCTGATCTGACAGGTCTGTGTGTGGGAGTAGGAGGGGTGGGAGGGGGGAGATCAGCCCAATGGATGAGTCCATTATTCCGATTTCATCTACTGAGATTAGAACATCTACCCCTTTTCTCTAGAATTCATTAGGCACTTGAGGGGTTGGTCCTAAACAAGACTGTCAGGCAGATAAATTTAGCCTTTAGTGTTGATTTTTGCTCCCACATTTCCCATTTGGAGGTTACTTCCCCTCAGCTGTCTTCCTTTCTTTCCTCTTTCCAGCTATCCCACCACATCCGGAGCTCCAAAAGTTGTCAGATTTTTCCTGCCCACCGTCTGGCAGAAATTACTTTTTCTAAAACTCCTTCCCAGGATTAGAGTTCCCCGAATGAATCTGATTCACACTGTCATGGTCTGGGGATTAAAAACAAAGACTTCACTTTATTCTTCTCAAAATAAAACATTTGGGAACTGAGGACTTTCAGGTGCTCTCGGGATACCTCAGGGAGTGCACAGGTGGCGAGGAAGTTGGTTTCAGTACTGCTTGCAAAACCCTTTCAGTAGAACCTGCTTTTGGCCATCAGATTTCAGATGTTCCCAGTTTATCTCAAACCTGAGATGCATAATCAACCCAAAACTCAGAAGGCAGGTTGTTTCCATTTTGGGGATTCCTAGGTACTTGCTGAGAAGGATATGAGACAGTTGCCATACTCACACAGGAAAGGCTTGGGGATGGGTTGGTCATGTCTGCCTGTGAGAAGCTCAGAGCACACCTTCCTGAAGGTCAGGCTCTTCTCTCCTTGAGGGGTCCGGGAGGAATCCACAGTAGATACCCACCTGTCTCTCTAGCCTGAGAATCATCATCTACACCCTTGCTCCTAGAAGTGGGGTCCTCAGAACAGCAGCATCAGCACTAGTGTCACACCAGAGCTTGGTAGAAATACAGAATCTCAGACAACAACCTCGACCCTAACCTATCCCAACAAGCAGATTCCTTGTTTTCAAAAGATTCGTGAGGGATTCATGTACATGTTAAGGTTTAAGATAAGGAGGTCTAGAGACAGAGGTCCAGTGGGTCTTCCTGCCAGTTGTCAAGTTGTAACCCTTGAAGATACTCACAGCTCTCTCGCCTGTCCCTCCCTCCAGTGATTGTACATCTGTTTTCTACAACAAAATGTCAGCAGGAACAGGACCAGCCCCCTATGTGAATGGGGGACAGTCCTTTTACCCCTATATTTGGGAAGCTTAATTAAAAGGCCATGGTGTACCAAACCAGACAACGGTCCCTGTCTTACTGCCATGTGGCTTCTGTCCCCAGGCAATCTATAAGATGGTTTCCTCTGTCATGAAAATGCCTGAAGATGAGTCAACCCCGGAGAAAAGGACAGAGAAGATCTTCCGTCAGATGGACACCAATAGAGATGGTAGGAGGCTGTGGCTGCTTTGCTTTGCTCAGAGTGGGGGGCTGCTGGAGGGACTGGGGGTGTGCAGGCTGAGATAGGCCACTCAACGACAAACCATGAGCTGCAAGAGCCTAGCTGCAAGGCCTTTTGTGACAATGGCTCATCCTGCTGGGCAGGACAGAGGACAGAGTGGTTCCCAGGACGCTGGATCCTGGATCCATACAGGCCAGTAATCAGAAAATCCTGAGTCAACTGTAGCTCTGCTGTTGTTATCAACTCACCTGTTCTGCATCCCCAGGGGTACTGGAAACTTTCCCCCTTCCTCCCCAGGGGGATTTTTTGAAGTCTTCTGCACATGCTCCAAGCTGTTGGGTCTCCTGGAGCCAAGAGGGTCCCTTAGTCATTGGCGGAGAGGAGCGAGGTGGCCAGTAGGCCATATCTACCCTGACAGTGCCACCCACAACTCAAACCTGACAAAGGAGTACTAGACAACCCAAAGCAAAAAGGATTGCAAACTCCAGAACAATGGATTTTAGATGTTGGACTGCCAGATAGAATACAGGAGGCCCAGTCAACTTTGAATTTTGGATATGCAAAAAATGATTCTTTTGTGTAAAAACATATACCCTTTGCAATCTTTAGGACATATAAGAAAAGAAAAATGTTACTTGAAATTCAAAATCAACTGGGCATCCTGTATTTAACTTGCCAAATGGCAACCCTATTTAGATGTAAGACTGTGTCTGAAGTGCTAAGCGCAGTCTGGCCCATAATAAGTCCGAGTCACCTGTAGCTCAGCTGTTACTGACTCACCTGTTCTGCTGGCATCCCCAGCACTTCTTGTAGAGACGTACTAATGCACTCATGTAGCCCGCCTGGCACTGGTGGCCAGAGTGACGGGAACCTTTGTCATGGAGCAAGCCTCTATCTCTATCCCATGCCCTCTGGGACTGGCCGCCTGAGAATCTGGGTTTTCAGGGTGCAGGCCAATCTGTTTGCTTTGTTTCCTCCACAAAGGTACCCTTACATCCTGCTATATCCTATTTCCCTTCATGCACCTCATTTTACAGCAAATGTCTCATTTTGCAAAGACTAGCAAACTAGGGATTATTTTAATAGTGAATGACCTCAATGATGTTAAACTGGGGGTTTTGCTGGTGTTCCTGGGGAGCACAGGTGGCTGTGTCCTGCCTCCGTAGCTGGGGGAGAGACTGGGAGAAGATCAAGGCACCACAGGATAAAACTCTGCTGCATGCTGATCATAGGCAAGAAATGAGGCTCTCTATTGGCTCCACTACAGTGGGACCGTGAGCCCTACCTGGGTGAGTGTTCCCAGCACCAGCCCTGGGCTCTCCTAAGGGAAGGCCTTGAGTATAAAAAGACCGGGCGTGGGCTGTGTGGAAACTGTACAGGAAGGGAGTTGGGGGGGTTCACATCTAAGAACAGTGAGAGGAATCTTAGCCGAACCAGACTTAGTGCTTCAGCTCGGCACTTTGCTTCTGGACCCCCAAACCCAATTTGGCGCCCCCTCCTGGAATAAAGGCCTTACATCAATCATGTTCCATTAGATTTCTCTTGATACAAGCTCTGCCTCTAACCCCTGGCCCCTGGCTTGGAGAGTAAAGTCGGGGCCACAGGCAAGTTAGCCAGAGAGCCAACTCCTCCGAAACACACAGGGAGTTAACAGAGAGACCCGGATGTATGAGTTGAAGGCAGGGTTTTGCTAGCTGCGTCTGGTTCCCTGAGGCAACATTTCAGAGACCTGGAAGGGTGCAAACCGAGGCTCGTTTCGTCTCTGAGAAGCCTGTGGAAGTTGCCTGCTCTAGCCACAGGGGCACAGTGCCTGAGAGCAAAGGGGCCTGCTCCACAGCCTCAAAGCAAGTAGAAAAATTAATTGCTGCCCTTCTCCTTCATGAAGATAAAGTGGATTTGGTTAAACAACAACAGGTTCTGCTGGAGCAGCTTGGCTAAGCGTAGCACGTACTGGGTGTCTCTGGGGTGGGGGGGAGAGCACTGGTAGGTACAGCCTCCTGTCAGGAGTAAGCTGAGAAGTAGAAGAGCAGTGACTGAAGCCAGAGGATGGAGTTTCACTCCGTGAGAGAGGAAGGGTGTGTGGCAATGCTCAGCGGAGGGGAGCAGACATGTCCTGTAGTCTCCAGGGCCTCTGTCAAGAGGAAGAAGGGGCTGAGAGAGATGCCCAGAAGCTCCTCCCTAGGACAAGCCCTTCTGGAAGCTCCAGGAAGGGGGGAGAAGCTTTTTCTCCACCCCCCACACCCCTCCCCAACAAAATGACAGAGGGTTCTACTGAAAGGAAATTCAATACATACAGCAACTTAGATGGGAAGGACAGGGACATGGGGAAGGTGTGGGGTTCAAAGTGGCAGCCAAGTCTCTCTCCTGCAGCCTGTCAGGTTAGGAGGAAAGTGTACTGATTGGTAAGGGGCAGAGCGTCTCAACCCCCCTGCCTCATGCATATACCCCTTTGTTCTCTTGATTCTTCTCACATTGGATGAAGGGGTAGCCATTCTCACAGACTGTTCAAAAGAAGGGGTGCTCCCCTCAGCTAGCTGTGCAGGCCCCTAAGTAGCCTGAGTGACCCAAGAGGGCCCAGGGAATGGCCCAGCTGCGTTCAGTTCCTCATCTCAAATGCACAGGGGACATTCGTTCCACAGATACAAGGGCAGCTGGAAGAACCACAGGGCAGGGGTCATCCATGGGCCACCCAGCACCCCCTCACCCACTCCACCCAGCAGTGGGTCTTCCAGCACAGAGCAGGCCCTCAGGAAGCCGGGTGCTGTACCTGGGCGCTGGCTTGCAAAGGTGACCAAGACCCACGCCCCAGAGAGGCAGAGAAGAGTGTGAGTCGATGCAGTTGCCACCAGCCACGCTCACCTGTCCTCTTGCCTTGCAGGAAAGCTGTCCCTGGAGGAGTTCATCCGAGGGGCCAAGAGCGACCCGTCCATAGTGCGCCTCCTGCAGTGCGACCCCAGCAGCGCCGGCCAGTTCTGAGCCCGGCACCCCACGAATCGTAGAGCTGCTTGTGTTCCCTTTCAGTTTTTCTTTTTAACAAAAAAAAAATATTTGTTGCCAAACAATATTGACAGTGATGCTGCCCCCGTGCGGTCAGATGCACCTTCCTCCGTGACGCCTTCGCTGCTTTTGTCGTGGACGCTTCGTGGGAATGCCGTGGCCCAGCGCTTGTGGAGAGCATGGACAGTGCTGTCGCGTACAGACTCTGTGGTTTCCATTGTTTTGATGATTTTTAATTGTTGATGTTGTTTTTCTGTTGATTCTAATGTCTCTGTTCTAAAACCGAAGACTCGGGGAGGCAAGAGAAGGAAAGCCAATCCAGTCCAGTGATTCTATGGCAAGCTTCGAGGGGCTTGTCTGAACAACAAAAGCCCCTGCCTGGGTTCGGTGTCACTCACACCCTGGGGTGGCACCAGATGCTGGACTCCCTAAGGACACGTGACTCTCTGGGGCTAGGCTATTCAAGGGACCTGGGGGAATTTCCCAGGGAGGCCCGCCCACCCTCTTCCCCAGCAGGTTGTAGTTTCTAAGCTGTGAACATTTCCAGGTAAATTCATAGAAAAGAGGAAAAAGATGGCTCAGCTATTTTTTCACAGGTTTACACTAGTTGAGCAAATACAAGTTTCTTTGGAAATTGAACACAAATTGTAACTTATATTCCAAAACCTGATCCGTCTTGTTGCCTATTGTGATTTAAAAAAAAAAAAGACTGCTGTATATAAAATATTGGGGTATTGCAGACCAAATTAAGTGTTTTGCCTTGTTTAAATGAAATGCATGTTTAGTGAGCACTAATACAATCTTATTACAGAAGACTGTTTTTAGTAGCTTATTGTGAAGTAAGCCAACTCTAATGAATGTCTGTGTCTTGTTTTAAAGTCATATCTGTCTTTGCACAAATGCACCGATCAACAGGTATATTTTCTATATTTCAGAAAAGTACAAAGTAAACTTGACAAGGGCCCAACCTTCATTTTGAATGTTTTTCCAGAGTGGCAGTGCATGGAGAATAGAAGCAGGGCAGGTTGAAATGGGGTACAGCAGCTGGAGCCCCAGAAGGTTAACATTTATGAGAAACATGAGCTGATATCCACTCAGCCAGCCTACAACTCATCAGCAGTGTGAAACGGTGTGGTGCTTTTCTGAGTGGATCAATATTCCATAAACCCCTTGTGCCCCAAAAAGCATGAATTCTTGAAACTTCTCAGGGGTTTCATCCATGTGTATGGTTAGGAAGCTATATCTGGCATATTGACTTTTTGATGTCTTTCTTCAGTGGCCCTTCAAAGAATGAGAGGTTGGCAATCATCTGATTCATCATGAGGAGCCACGGGCAAGTGTGTCTGTGGCTTCCCAGCCCCACTATGTGAAATCCCGGAATATTTCCCCATCAGCATGTTCTGTGAATTATAGATTTCTATTTCCAGAAATGACAGCACCAATTCAAGTTGCTGTTTGACCTGGTGACCTCATGTGCATGAATTTGAATTGAAAGAGTAAAAATTGCTGGCTACAGGTAAGTCATAGTTTCACAAGCATTAGGTATGGCAAAGCACAAAGCTCAAGGGTGCAGATGGGGAGAACCAATTCTAAGGAAGGCAGCGAGGAACCCAGTGGGTGTCTTGCTGCCCGGCTACTTGCTGTAGAACATAAATCGCAGAAAGATAAACATCATAACCTCAAGGGAAGTGATGCTGAAGCCTTCTAACCTCCAGATTCCTTTTTGTCTATCCCTTGAGTCCTTTTTACTGGTAGAAAAATTCAAATTTGTATGGTTCACCAAAACAAACAAGCTTTGCAAGGTGAAATTTTGAGACCCTGACTTGGTAAAATAACCTTAATCTTCCTCTGAGTGTCCATTCTTCCTAGTGGTTTCATACCAAGGCTCCCCAAATTCCCCCATGGGCCAACTGGTAAAATACGGTTTTAAATAGGGAATTAACCTATGACTTGGAGTGCAGAGTGAGTGATGGGGACCCAGAATGCCTTCCCTTCCCCATGCCCCAAACCCCCACCCTGCTTCTGCTCTTGATCAAAGAACCAATTGCTCCTTAGTCCTCCTTAGATGGTGGAGTCAGTCACCATTTGGGTCAGCTCGTAACATCTTCCTGAGCAGACTCACTCCATTCCCCAGAGCTTAGAGCTGGAGTAACAGGGAGGAGGGTCTCAGTCTTTTAAAGAAAACAGCCAGACGCATGACAAGTGAACTCCGACACTCCTGGAATATATGGAAACTGGCCTCCTCCTGGCCTGCCCTTGATCCTGTCTGTATTTTCTTGAGGGTTGTTTTCTTCCTGCCCCTCCTTCCCAGGACGGCTTTTGTATGTCTACTCCAAAGCTCTCAAGTTTGGTCAGGGGACTCTGCAGCACCCAGAGGGCTGAACGCTTAAAGATTTACGTCACTCTTGTGCTGGGCTGTTCATTGTCACTGCTGTGTGGCGGGGCCTCTGGAATTGGACTCTGTTCTGTGTGAAATCAAGCCAGCCTGTGATGTTCAAGGGACTGGAATAAAGTGGCTTATGACTTGAAGGAAGACACAGAGTGGTCGGCTGTTTATACCCTTGTTTAAGGTGGGGAAGGGGTGCTGAGGGTGCTTTTCCCTTCCTGTCAGTATGCCCCAGGGGGCACTTCCCACAGTGAATTTAATCCTCTGCAGACTTAAAGTCACAACATCTGGAGTGGCCTGTTTACGTTGCTCTAGCTTGGCATTTATTTGCTATGGGGCATTGCATATGACTGTCTGGGGTGGGCCTGAAGTTTCTGGTCTTGAACTGCTGCTCCAGTTGCACTTGTACCCAGGTGAGGACACTGACTTCTTCCTGGAGATAAGACCAGGAGCCCAGGGCCGTGAATGGGTGCATGGGAGAGGCCACTGAGCCCAAAGCCCTGACCAAAAGCGGCCTTGATCCATGTAGAAGCTTCCTACTTCCCTCCCCTGTGAGCTTCCCTTTCTTCTCGTTTCCTCTTCCCTCCACAACTGGAGCTGCAAACTCTACTCCAAACATTAGCTGCCATGGAAGGAGAAATTGAGTCAGTTTTTGCTTCAGGGGGCAAATTAATCTCCTCCTCCTCCGCACCCCTACCCGCTTCTCAGTCTGAAAGTTTGGTGGAAAAGATGACATGTTACAAGGCCTGCGCCCTCCGAGCCAATTCTTATCAAGGTGTTTGCTTCTGTTGCTATCATAAGGCCCTGCTCCGGCACAGAAGGCAGTTAGTTAGTGTAGGACAAAGGGGGCATTAGCTTGAGTGTCATTTCCAGCAGGTCACTCGCGGGCTGACGAGACCACGTGGGAGTGCAGCTGGCCCCCAGGGAATTCTCCCTCTACTTTGCGCAGTTTTTCTCTATGGACCCGTGATGGCCCCGATGCCCGAGAGTGCTGGGCGTGAGTAGCACCATGTCATTCGTGGCAAGAAGTGGTTGGGTGCCTCACCATAGTCAGGGTCCTGCCCTCTCACACCTGCTGGAGGCGAACCAAGCAGCGCTGGCCTGAAGCGGGTCCTCTGAAACCCAAACACCTTGATAAGAATCGGCTTGGAGGGTGCGGCTCCGCATCGTCATCTTTTCCAGCAAAGCTTCAGACTGAGAAGCAGAAGGGGTGAGGTGGGGTGAGGATATTAATTTTCCACTGAAGGGAAACTGACTCAGATCACCAGACCTTTTTAGAGTGTGAAAGTTTGGGAGTCCCAAGTTACCTACCCCGAGGTAGCATGCTAACATAACCACCTCGCCCACGGTGATTAAAGTGACTTAGTCTAAAGACTGGAAGGCAGGAGCTGGTAATGGACCCCATGGTCCTGAGAGTTGGTCATCCTTGCCTTCCCAGCCAGAGTCTCTGTACAGGGAGGTGGGGAGCTCATGGCACACATGGTGAGCAAAATTCACCCAACAGCAGGACCTCAGTTGCCAACCCCGGGCCAAGGGAGGGGCTGCCTCGGGGGAGATGCTGAGACCAGCTGCAGGTCCAGGGGACTCCTGCTGAGCCTGTGGAACAGGAATCACAGAAAGCTCCTTTAGCCCATTTCTAATCCCATAATCTCTTCAGAAAGCTCCTCAAACAGCACCTCTCCCAGCCTCCTCTTCCCTGCCCGCCTGTCCAGGCATAGAGGCTGCTGGGGATGCGACCTGGGGTTCAAGTTAGAGAAAGCTTTCTCAAAGCAAAATTCTAGCCAAGTTTGTGGATGTGGATGGACAGAGAAGGTGAGATGTGGGGAAACATCAAAATGCTCCTTGCTTGGAACGAGACTCTTGGGAGATAATCATGGATGGTGATTGAAGAAGTGTGGTTCAGGTAGGTGGGTGGTCATTGAGGAAGCAACAAAAATATATGGAGAGTAAATCAAGGTGTTTGCATTTGAGCTGATAACCCAGCAAGACTGTGGGTTCCGGGGCAAGGGATGGAACTGGAATTTCAGCCACGGGGTTTTAGCTTTTGTGTAGAGGTTGGTGCAGAAAACCAAGCAGAACCGGAAAGGTCTCACAGTAATTTTAGCAAATGGTGAGCTGGGAGTGAGGAAGACAAAGGTGAGAACTCACTACCTGTTCTGGTGACCTGGTCAGGACTAGCCTCCCCGAGCCCTGTCATCCCTCTTGGTTTCTCCAGCCCTCTTATTTAACTGTGGTGGGGCCACAGCCAACCAGAAGAGGAAATTCCCTCTGTGTTGAAGCCCAGGACCCGAAGGTACCCAGGGGCGCCTGGAATCTTCCCTGTTCCCACAGAGGCTTCCATTCAGTCATACAAAAAACACAGCACAGGGCCTCCCTGGTGGCGCAAGGGGTTAAGCACCGGACTATGAAGCATTCCACACCTCTGCAGCACGAGTTTGATCCCTGGCCAGCCAGGGAGCAACCCACATGGTGCAGCAGACCTCTCCTGACTCGCCCGCTGCTCCCCTCCGCAGTGTACTTTGGTCAGTCTGCCTGTTCTGCTCCCCGCGCTGTCTCTGGTGGATCCTCTCACCCCTCCCCTTCCCCACGCATGTCTAGCCTGTACCCCAGCTCTTGTATGCATAAATAAATAAACCTTTAAAAAAAAAACACAGCACACCATGTTTTCCCACCCCCATCTCCAGGATATACCAGACACTTCGTTTATGCTCATGTTATGAATATTTATTTTTTTCTTTTTAAAAATGTACAAAAAATAAAATAACTGTATTTATAGTTTATAGACTCCCCCTCTCCCATTTACAAAACTATTAACTTACATTTGCCTTTTTTTTTTCCTTTAACTTGAGAGCAAGTTGTCCATCTACCAACCTCCCTCGCTTATCTCTAAGGAAGGACTGTTCATAGACTTTGGCATAAACCCTCTGTGTCTGTGGCATTGTCTTGATTTTAAATAAGAAGGGAAATAAATGTTTGATTAATTTCATGCTTCCTAAGTTTCTGGGTGGGGCATGCTTTAGCCTTCTAGGGTCCAGTTCCAAGATGACACCTGGCTGCAAGTTTTTCTGTTGGTCCTAATTTCCAAATGCCCATAGCCTAAGCAATTTGGGTATGTGTAAGAAAACCGCTGGTTTCCACGTTCCTCGTTGCACATGGATTTTTTTTTTAAGTTTCTTTATCAGAGTGTATTTAATTTAAGGGCCAAAAAGCAAAAAATAAAGAAAAGGAGGCAAATTTTCATATCTTTCTGAAGGGTTTTGCTCGGGAAATTTTGCATCAAAGCTCTGCTAACATACATGATGAAGGACACGCCAAGCTAAGCCGTGGGACTCAAGGACGCAGAGGGGCACGGCCAAGTTGGGGGGTGGTCAGATGGGACGGGACACTCTGCACCACCCTTTGGTGGCACTGGCCTCATATTCTTTGTTCTGGCAGTGGCCACTCTACTGATAGCTCAGGGACCCGGGAGAAATGCAAAGCATCTCTCATACAGCCTCTGCCTAGGGCAGATCAGCAAACACTTTTCCCAAGAGGCTGGAAAGAAGGGGAGCTGACCTGTGTCAGACCAACAAAATCTTTCTCAAATTTTCCCCTCTCTGGAGTCCTGCTCCAGCTTACTAGTTTTTGCCATGAGGTTTGAAATCACCTATGGCAAGGAGTGTGGGAAGTGCATAGTACATCACATATTTCCAACACTGAATTTGTCCATCTCAGAACAGAGCCCAGTTAGTACTCAGGAGGGTCCCCAGGCTGTCCAGGAGGAGAAGAGCACAGGCTGGAGCAGAGCTGAGTCCAGGATGCCAACCTCTGGCACCACAGGGAGTTGTAAAGGTGCCCTTGACCACCACCCACACATCTTCCTAGGCACAGCTCCATTCAGTTCCTCTGCAGCCTCAAGGGGCCGCAGCTGGGCTGGAAGCAGCGCCTCATCTTGGGGCAGATGGGCAGGAGAGTCGGGAGCCCATGGAGACAGAGCCAGAGCTCCCAGGTTAGACATCAAAGTGCTTTACAAACAAATCTGGGCCTTTACTCCAAATCTATCCTAGCTCCCGGACCGCGGTGGGGGATGTGTCTGGCTAACAAAAAGCTAGTGCTCCAACCCTCCAGGGTGAAGCCCAGACCACCGACCTGCCTCTCAGAGGGGCCAGTGGCCCCTGCAGTTTACGATTTTTGTTTAGGGAAGCGTCTTCTCCCCTTGTCTCCCAGGGTGTGAAGCAGGTGGACTGGGCCTCCTCCCTCCCAGTTCTGCCATGGAGCTGGTTTCAGAAGATCCAGGTCTAATGGGATATTCTTATTCCTTTCAAATCCAGCAGAGGCAGCTCATCCCTCCTTCTCTGTTGAGGCCCAGGTGGCAGCCGTGGGCTGCGGATTCAGAGCTGAGCTGTGGGCACCACTCTTGGAACTGCAGTTGCACCTTCAAAGGGGGCCACTCGAGATGAAGGATTGCTTGTAAACTGGGCGGCTCTGTGCAGTCACCAGGGGCCTCCTGGTAGCCAAGTTCTACAGAGGACCCAGTGGCAGGGACCCCGGGGCAGGCCCTGCAATCTCTCCAGAAAGCTCAGACAGTGCCAACACCAAAGTGGGAGGAGCTAGAGCCTCAGACAATCTGACCTCTGCCTCGAGACAGCTCAAAGAGAGAGGGAAGCTAAGCCAGCCACCATGGCACACAGCGGTAGCCTTGAGGGTGGAGTGTCCCCAGGGAAAGGGAACGGGGACTTCCTCGGGGGATGAGGAACAAGTCTCCAGGCTTGCCCACTGTAGTGTCTGTCTTGGCCCCCTCTGCAGTCATGAGCACCCAGGCCGCAGCAGGGGTGGGAAGCTCTTACAGAAAGCGGAGTCTCCAGGTATGTGCCTCCCTTCAGCCAGTGGCAGTAAACATGCCCACATACCACAGGTAAAATATATTATTGCAATATTATAGACACTATGTACACGAGAACCAGGCATACTTGCTATGTGACTTGCTAATTACAAGGTAGCTGACTGTCTTCCTGTACAAGGCCTGGTAGTCACTCACTGGGAACCCCTGGAGGTATTTAGCAAGATGACCTTCCCCAGAGTGACCTAAAGGTTTTTGACCAGTGAGGGGGCATCGAACTCTTACCCACCCTCTCACTACCACAACAAGAAGCCCCTCATTTCTCCAATCACTCAAAAGTTGGGCGAAGGGACGAGACAGTTTCAGGCTCTTCAGGATGAACGAATTGGCTGTGTTTCCCTTGAAGTGGAGGGCTCTGGATGGTCTCATCTGGAGCCAGCAGTGACCTGCAGAGTCCTGGCGGGGTCACCAACCCAGGATCCAGAAACAGGTGGACAATAAATAAGGGTCTGACAGGCCCAAGCCACCTACTCGAGGGGCTCCTCGCAGGAGCTGGTGGGGGCCAAGCATACTGACACGGATTGGAGCTCTGGGCCTTGCCCCGTCAGCGCAGTCATGTAACAGCAGTGTGAGATGGGTGAGGCGGGTCTTCAGGTTCTGGGGCCGGGGCCTCTCTCGCCCGGGGAGGAATGTACTGAGGGCTCCTGCCAAGGGGGAGCCGAGACCAGGGCTCAGATCTCCATGAGCGTGATCTTGAAGCCTTCCACCATGCTCTCCATGTTGAGGATGAAGGTGTCCTCATTCGAGTAGTGCTCAATGATGTTGTCATCCATGTTCACCAAGATGCTGCAGGGAGAATGAAAGAGGGGGGGAAGCTGTGAACAACACACTCTGCGAAGGCAGGCTCTGGGCTGGGGTGCACTCAGCCCATTCTTTTGCAAGTGAGGTTGGGAGGGGGTGGAGGAAGGAGCAGACAGGCAGGGAAATAAGCTCTTCATAGTCTGTCTAAAACCAGTTAGAACCAACCTCATGACTACAGACATCATTCAACCCAATCCTCCTGCTTTACAGGTTGGTAAACTGACACCCAGACAATTTAGCAGAGTCAGAAGTCACAGACATTGACAGAGATGGGATCTAAACTGTCAAGTCCTAACTATTTTCATTAAGCCACGCTGCCTCTTGAAAATACATTTTTAAAAAGTACTCTATTTAGGAGGAAGATAAACAAGAACGGCAGCTGCCCTTGGTTAAACATATAATATGACCAATGTTTCCAAGACCTCATATTTAATCCTCATGGCAACCTGGAAGATAGGTGTGATCATCGCCAATTTGTAAATGAGACAACTGAGCCTAGCAAAGTCGGGTCATTTCCCCAAGTTCATGCAAGAAGTTCACAGCTGAAACTAGTTTTGCCTCACTCTGAAGCTCACACTTTACCATCTGTGACCTATTCCTTGCTTCACTATCCCCAGGAGATATAATTTAGAGAAAACCAAATTCCAGGGTCTGTCAATGATTTAGATGTACTGGAGCTAGACCCATTCCTTAACTGACAAATCTTAGTTTGAGGATGAAGACCCGACTCTATAATTTTACAGCTATGAGCCATCAGGCAAGTGGTTTAGGTGTTCAGAGCCTCAGCTCCTGAGATTTCTGCAAAAACAAAATAACAACCCTGCTTAGGGAGTTGCTGTGAGAACTAAACATAGACAGGCCTGACATAGTGCTCAATGAAAGTAAAATGTTATCACCATTGGCATGTACATCTGCACTGAGGATTTCTGCTTAGCAATAAAACCTTGAGACACCACTCATATCTCACCATCAAAGGAACACAGTCAGCCTATTGCATTGACCTTGGGAAAGTGTAACAGGCATTTTAGTGAGCTTTCCAACAAGGTCTCAAGTGGCAAAAATGTCCCACTTGATTCCCAATCAACCAAGAGACCTGTCACTCAGCAACCCAGATGTTCAAAGTCCTTATATGAAAGGGGTCCAAAGTAGAGCTTCAAGAGCCTTTTGTTGTTGTTGTTGTTGTTGTTGTGTTTTGAAGAAAATAGCTTCAGAAGCTGATTCAATGAAGATTCTCTCCTAGAGCCTCTACTCTTAGAACCTCATCATAGGTAGCCCCATGAGGGACTAGAGGAGGCAGACAGCAGAATGTGAGATTAAGCCCTTGAACTTTGGGGCCACAGACTTGGATTCAAATATGTGCTCTGTCGACTAAACATGAGATCTTGGACAAGATGCTTAACCTTCATCTATCTCAGTTTTGTCAGCAGGGAATTAAGCATAAGAATCTACCTCATAAAGTGGTGAGGAATAGAGACACACATATCAATTACGTACTGGGGCCCAGCGCCAACTGATATCCAATAAATGAGATCTACTGTTCTTAAACTGAGAACAGCAGGGCCAATGACCTTTAGATCACCTTGTGAAGACTCACCTCTGAAGAATCCCCTTTGCCCTAAATTCTTTCTGTTCTTTAACAGTGATCCCAAGAGCAGCACGCGAGTCCCACTAAGTCTACTCTTTGCAGAAGGGGGACTTTGTCACTCTCCCCAGGGTCCTCACTATGCCCAGTCCCCTCTACTTCATCCACTACCCTGTAACTGGAACAGGGTATCTCAGCTGAATCACGTCCAGGCATGATTAAGCTTCTCCTTGCTCAGTCTCGTCCTTCCTTTGGAAGGACAGCACACAATTTTTATGAAAAGTGAACAAAAGAGCAAACAAAAAACACGGCCTCCCCTGGTGGCGCAGGCAGTTGAGCAGCGCCCTGTGAAGCTGTCCGCAGCCTCTGCAGTGCCGGTTCTATCCCAGCCTGCTGGCGAGGGTCCCACATGGTGAGCAGACCTCTCCTGTCTCGCCCACTGCTCCCCTCAGCAGTGTATTTCAGTCAGTCTGCCTGTTCTGTTCCCCACTCTGTCTCTGTTGAATCCTCTCACCCTCCCGTGCATCTGTCCTGTACCCTGGTTCTTGTGTAAATAAATAAATCTTTGGGGGGGGGGGAAGAGCAAACAAAACACAGACACTATCTTTTTTTTTTTAAAGATACTGTGTAGGGGCCTCCCCGGTGGCGCCATTAGCACTGCACTATGAAGCAATCGCAGCCTCTGCAGCATGAGTTTGATCCCTGGCCAGCCAGGGAGCAACTCACATGGCGCAGCAGACCTCTCCTGGCTCGCCCGCTGCTCCCCTCAGCAGCGTATTTCAGTCAGTCTGCCTGTTCTGTCCCCCGCTCTGTCTCTAGTGAATCCTCTCACCATCCCTCCCAGATCTCTGGCCTGTACCCCAGCTCTTGTATGCATAAATAAATAAATTAAAAAAAAATGATAATGTGTAGACTTATTTGATTCCAAAGTCAATTTAAATTCCAGTTCTTTCTTACCCTTTTTTGCTTTTCTTGTAAAGCTTTGCTATCTTCTCCACAGGCAGTCCGTATTTCTCAGATATCTGTAACACCAATAAGAAAAAGGCAGATAAGCATGGAAGGGAAGCCAGGCAGAGGCAAGAGACTTCACTCTCTTAGAGATTGTCCCGGCGCACTTACTCACGAGTCAAACTCTCGGGGTGTGTTGTGTGTAAGGCTCTCCCTTGGACAAATCTTAAATCATTCAACCAAAAATTCATCCACTAAAGGAAGGTGACTAATGATGATACTATCCTTTAGATTGGTTGGAAAAAAGATGGACTCTAAGTATGATGATGAATGAACTTGGTTGGATTAAATAAAGAAAAATGTAACAAGTTAAGCTGGACCCTTCTCTCCTTCTTACTTCAAACTAAATTTCAGATAGATCAGGTTTGTATGTGAAAGATGAAACCATATCCGTAGAAGAAAAATCAGAGTCAACTCTTTGTATAGCAATTGTTTTCAAGTGAAGAGCTTTCCAAATAAGAGATGAAACCTGAAGAAAAAGATTAAAAGGTTGATAAAAATAACAGACTTAAAAACACCAGGTTCATGAAAACCACCATAAAAGCTGAAGATAAATAATACCTGGGGAAACGTTATTTGCAACATAAATGGCAGGACTCTCACTAACTTCCTTAAGCTAGAAACAACTTCTGCAAATTAAAAAAGGACTAATATTCAATGGGAAAATGGAACAAAAACAGAGTGAAAAATAATTTATAGAAAAGTTAGAACCCCTGGTGGCCTCGGGGTTAAGTCTCAGCACTATCATCGCAAAGGCCTGAGAATGATCCCCGGCCAGGGAGCTAACCCACATGGTGCAACAGACTTTTGTCTCTCCTGCCACTCCATTCAGCAGCGTATTTCAATCAATCTGCCTGTTCTGCTCCCCACTCTGTCTCTGGTGAATCCTCTCAACCCCCTTCACTTCCCAGCACCGCTGGCCGACACCCCAGTTCTTCTACACAAAAAAATAAATAAGTAATAATAAATACATTTTAATGTTTTCACATCTGAAAACCACAGTCATTAAAAGAAATGTGGGAAATACGGGAAGTCCTTATCATACTAAGGGGGGAAAGCTGCAAAACAGCATATTGAGTGTGTTCTCTTTGTATTTTTTTTAAATATTTGTGTAAACAAAAACATTGAAAGACCCACCAATCTACTAAGTGGCTAACTCTGGAAGAATGGACATAAATATGATTCTTTAACTTTGTATAATTTCGTACCGTTTATTTCATTTTCGAAATGACCATGATTGACTTTATAAAGTCATAATGGTTTAGAAATAGATTCTGGAGAGACCTACCCTAAATGCCTTTCATGCCTTCTCCCTCCCAAACCCAATCTACCGGCCTCTATTGCGCCCAGCTGCTGCTGCTGGAGCTAATTAGCAGCTGAGACAGGTGAGGTGTGGGTTAAACTACAGGTAGTGTTTCAGGGCTAGAAAAAGAGGCCGCAAGCACTTAGAGTCAAGCCGGGAGCTTTGGATGCTCTGGAAAGAGCTTATTCCACAGAGTCCTAGATTTCCATCTGCCTCTCCCTCCAACGACACAGAATATGGCCCCCACCCCACTAATAAGCCCCAAAGAAGCCCAACAGTGGACTGAGGATTGAAAGCACAAAAGGAGACTGAGGACTAAGTCCCCCCAACCCCATTGTTTTACATACTGAGTTCATGTCAGCTCAGCAGTGACTGTGATGGAGCACCGAGTAACCCCACAGCCGCACCTAAGCCCGAAGGAGCCCAGGGTGTAAACTAACACATCCCAAGGGTCATGTGCTGTGGGAAATGAAGAAAATGGACAGGCTTTGTGTTGGAGGCATCCATTTGAACTTAAAAAACAAGTAGGTCACTAATCATAGTTTTAGATCAGAACTTTGTATGCCATAGAGCAACCTTCAGGTGTGTTCTTTAATTTTCTGTTCATTTTTTTTTTAAAGATTTATTTATTTATTTATTTATACAAGCACTGGGTACTCTCCCGTGCTTCTGACTACCCAGTGCTTATCTAAATAAATAAATAAATCTTTAAAAAAAAAAAAAAAAAAACAGAAAATTAAAGAACACATCTGAAGGTTGCTCTGTGGCATACAAAGTTCTGATCTAAAACTATGATTAGTGACCTACTTATTTTTTAAGTTGAGTGAATGAATTGAGGATAGATGGGCAATTCAATTAGCCAACAGCAATAGAAAAGATCAAGCAGAAAAGCAATTTCAAGGTGCAAAGCAAAGGGGCAGAGCATAGATGGAAATCATGTCTTCAGTTCTCATTATTTGAAAGTGAATCAAATTCTTAAATCTTCCCTTTTTAGGGTTTTGACTCCTTGCTTCCCAGAGCATGAACACAAATATCTCCACTCAAAATCAGGTGAGAACAGTCAGAATGAGGGAAGGGGCATAAACTTGCACAATTCCAGCTTCACCTTGGGTTTGCTGGGGCAGCAGCGGCCAGGGCTGGCCTTCACGGGCACTTACTGAGCCCCAGTGTACGAGAGCGCAGAGCAGCGCATAATCCTCACGCCGTTCCTGTGAAAAAGGTCCTTTCAAGAGCCCTGTTTCTTAGGTGAGGAAACTAAGCCTTATCGTCACTAAGTAACTGGCCCAGGGTCCCTCTGCCAGTTAGTGGCAGGCAGAGGATTTGAAAGGTAACAGCCAGGCAGGCTGGTTTCAGATACTGAACTCTTAAAATGGACGCATGTTGAGATTTGTTTGAGGGGAAACTCAGGGGCCCCATCCAGGACCAAGAAGCAGCTGGCAAAGCTGACCCTTGTGCACCAAACTGCCCAGGCAACAGCTCCAGGGGGACAGATTCCTGCCCTCAGGTGGCCTCCAAAGGCAAAGGCAGCAGGAGAACATGCTCCCGCATCGGATGGGTTTTGCCACACTCACAGCCCTGGGGAGACACTCACAGCCCTGGGGAGAAGTCAGACTTACAGGATCTCCTGCAGAGGAAGCTGGCCATCTGTCGTGGTGGGGGGTGGGGCACACAAGAATTCCTTCTCCTGGATGATGCTACCCATACAGCCCTCCCTTCCATGCCTGGAAAGCACAGGCTAGTGAGAGTGGTCTCAGGATGTGGGGTGTGGGGAGATAAGGGAGTGCATGGTTTTGCCTTGTGCTTTTCAAGTTATCTGAACTGAGCATACATTTTTATAATTTTTAAAATCCCATTATTAATATTTTAAAGACTTTCTTTACACCCAGGAGGATCTTAGGTCTTACACATCTCTCATTAGTGTGTTACTGGTTGTCTGAGGATCTGTAACTTTCATTTCATGGAGTGCTATCTGTGTCCAGAAACCCCAGGTATGTGACAGGCAGACACTGAGCTTTCCATTGGTTTTCACTAAAAGGAACTGGCAAAAACGCCATCAGTCTTGTCTAAAGTTAAACTACCTGTTTTGGAAACCAATGACTTTTGAGTTATAAACTTCTCAGCATGGGCTTTAAGAGGCACATCAAAAAACAGGGGCTTTTGTTTACAGACACTTCCTAGGTGGCTTCATTTGACCTATCAAGAAAATCAGGGAAGACAGGTACTTTTGCCTGTCAGTTACTTTGCCTCCATGCATGAACGACTCAATGGACAGAAAAGAGTGTTAGGCCTCCCTGGTGGCGCAAGGGGGTTAAGTCTCAGCACTATGAAGCAATCAGCAGCCACTGAAGCACGAGTTCGATCCCTGACCAGGGAGCTGACCCACAAGGCTCAGCAGACCTCTGCTGTCTTGCCCCTGCTCCACTCAGCAGTGTATTTCAGTAGATCTGCCTATTCTGCTCCCCACCCTGTTTCTCGCCCACAGCCCTCCACCTCTGGCCTACACCCACAGCCCTCCACCTCTGGCCTACACCGCAGCTCTTGTATGCATAAATAAATAAATCCTTAAAACAAAAAGGGAGTGTTACCAGCACCACAGCCATCATCCTCCTTGTGCCCATCAGCAAACTTTCTCTAACTCCTTTCATTGGAAGAACCTCAGTCTGCCTGCCCACCCCACAGCACTTACTGTCACCCAATATATGCAGAGACATACAATTTTGCATACTATTATTATTCTATGTGTTAGATGTCTAGAAAATGATTTTATTTCCATGTGCTACTTTAAGTGCCATGTATGTAACAAAACTTTGTAACAAAACTTAATCTCATTTTATCTCACAACAACATTCCATATTGCTCTTATTATTCTCAATTGCTTCACCTCCTTTCCATTTGTTGTGAGCTGTGATTTGAAATGTTGTTCTTTTAATAACCTTTCCTATGTAGACATCTTCCTGACTGGACTTATATTGCTTGCATGTTTGCGCCATCACTTTGTGGAGTTACTAGACCTTGGGAACCACCCTCTGGACCTCAGTCTCCACATCCATAAAATGATGATGATGATAATATTTACCTTGCCAAACTCACAGGAATATTTGAGGATCATATGAAACAGTGCATGTGAAATCGGTCACCCTCAGCATTCAGTGTGGTGGCATGAATCCAGCAGATTTTTGATTCATCAAAAAAGCATTTATGCTCAAGGAGCCAGCCGTACACAAATGACAACAGAGACAAAACCCCTGTCCTCGTGGACTTTACAGTCTCCTGAGGAAGTGGGAAAGAATACATGTCTACCAACCACTAAATATGTCAAGTGGTGATAAATGAGATGAAGTAAAACAAAGCAGGATAAGGGGCTAATGACAGAGATGCTATTTGTGTAGGTTGTCTGGGAGGGGGGCATGTGAGCAGGGCTGAGGGGGTGAGAACTGAGCCTGTGGGTATGGAGCACACTCCTGATGGAAGGCACAGCAACGAGAAGGCTCTGGATAGGAGTAGCCTTGGGGGGACTTGCAAGGAGCTACAGAGACCTGACCTTCTTCATTTGCAGGATTATTAGGTAAAATCACTTCAAAATGCTGAAAAAAAGCCCCAAAACTTTGAAAACCCATGCCATCACCATCATCACCAAATTCTTATCTGTAATCAAGATTAAAACCTAAGTATAAGAATAAAGAATCCAAAGTGAATCATCAAAGGTACAGA